TGGGAGACAGTGAATGTGGCTGAAACGCCGTAGGTTCTAACAGATTCAGCCAAGGACTTTGTCATCTTGAAGTCCAGGGGATCATGGTATCTATCACCTTGGGCGTCCTGAAAAACAGGATACACCAAGGAAAGCTCTGACGGGACCGTCCTCTCTAAGGTTTTCTTCTTTAGTTTAAGCTTTTTAGAATAAAGTAGCTCTTGTAGAGCCAAAAAATTGGGTGCGAAGTAGACGCGCCCATGATTCAACTTATACTTTCACTTTGGAGTTCGCTCGTAGGCAAACTGGATTCGCTCGTAGGCAAACCTTAGCACTCCTACTTTATCTACAGATAGGAGCCCTAAACCCCGCTTTTGTCGCTGATCCCCAACTTACCCGGGGATTTACCGGTGCACCCCCTGACCACTGAAGGTTCTGAGCTGATGGCTTGAGATGGAGTCCCCGTACGGGCCACCACTTGTTGCGCACGACCTCACCAGCAAGGAAGACGCAACACACAGCTCTTCCTTCAGCGGTTTATTCAGGCCCCTGATTACAAGCTTCTTCTTCCCCAATCCCCCAGACCTTGGCTAATATATACTCCCGAGCCCAATCCCAGTGCGCCACGTGGGGATCGCCCATGGGTCCAGCATATGCGGAAGCGAATCATGACTGCAGCCCTGGCCATATAAGGAGTTGTTGTGCACAGAGAGCACTCACCCACAGGGAGTGGAAGGTGGAAACCAGCGCCATATTGTAGGCGTGGTCCTTCGCAGCTCTCCACAGGAACTGGCTGTTTTGAGAGCAGAAGTTAAAGATAGAGAAAATAACAGTTCAATAAATGAGGAAAATTCAAGTGATTCCAAACTCTAACTAATCAGAATAAAATTGATAGATTGGATATTTAAGGCAAAAGACTAATTTTTTGACTTCTAGTTAAAGACATGAAGTCCTATGCATAGGTCATACTCTGGAATTTCCAGGGGCTGGCCAGATAGTTTGACCAACTAAGCACCTTCTTAGGCAAGCTCAGGGACCTGGATTCTATTCCTGACACCATATTCTATGCTGGCCCCATGCTGGCCCTGCCCCTAGTCATGCTGAGCCAGCCACCGAGTCCAGGCATGGTGGCGCACACCTGTAATCCCAACCCTGGGAGGCTGAAAACAAGAGGATCGCTAGGAGTCCAAGCTGCATAGTGAGACCCTGTACAAAATTCATTACAAATAATAAAAATAAATAAAATAATAAAAATAATATGGAAATTTATTTCCTAAATAAGGTTTTTGTTTTATATCATCCTAAATTATCCACCATTAAGTTAACAGAGAAAACAGGAAAATAATAGGTAAATATGATAATTATGTTTAAGACATAAATTTTTTTGTTACCAACTAGCTGTAATGCAAAGATAACATGTTCCCTTCAAAGTCATAGAACCATTATTGAAGAACAATGATAAAGGTTCCACTGTTTAGCAATGATTTGCTGAAATTTAAGTTTATCAAATGAATACAGAGGTACCTCCTCCCTCCTTATCAGGTCAATAGTACTTCTAACTACAGAGCACCAACAAATCAGATTATAACAACTATATTCAAGAGTCCTTCCAAGAAAAGGATACAAAGTATGGGCTGCTGACCAAATCTTTAAACATATTGTTTTCAACTAAATGATAATAAGTGCAAGTGTGACATACACTCACAGGTGTTGTGTGATCCAGAAACTCAACTGATTATATTCTAGTTTTAAATACAGCCTTGTTTGTGAATGCTGTAATATTTCTCACATAAGGACATTACATATACCTAGGTTCAATTGGAATTACTGAAATATATTATCACACTTAAATTCATTTCTTTCTGTCCAACATTCCTTGTTGCCTAAAATTACTTGATTCTTATTCACATTGTGTAAGAGACATCAGCTTCTGCACATACAGATTCACATACCTTATCAATATATTATTTTCATTTTTATCTATAAAAGAACAACTGCTGGTGTTCAGCAGTCCCTGACCTATATGTTTCATTAATATTAATTTCAGTGATTCTCAGGAAAATTATGATGACAGGTATAGCCAGTGAACCATGAAATGAAGAGATTATTACCTCTAGTGATGTAATGGTGAGGTGAGCAAAAGTAGAGTATCTTTATCTCTTGTTAAAATTATCAATAGAATCCATAGACATCATCTATTCAACACCAGATTTAAGGTATTCTGCTGCTTAGAGATGCTTTTATGGGTCCGGCCAGATAGATCAGAGGACTAAAGTGCCTGCTTAGGCATAGCACAGCATCCAGGGTTCATTCCCCGGCCTGCCGTACCAGCCCTGCCCCTAGGGTACGCTGAGATGGCAACTGAGACTGCGTGTGGTGGTGCGCACCTGTAATCCCAGCATCTAGAGGCTGAGAACAGGAGGATCACTACAAGTCCAATCTGTGTAGTGAGACCCTGTAGACCTTGTACTAAAATGAAAAAAAAAAGAAGTGAGAGAGAGAGAGAGAGATGCTTTTATGGAAATTTTTCTCTGTCATGAAAGACTTGTGCATGTTTGCCCTAGTTTCTATGATCTCCTTTGTTTCTATTTACTAAGTGTTTTCATCTTATTCCTTTTCTCAAAAATGGTTTTTCCATCCTGTGATTTTCACCCAAAAGATAGGCAATCACAACAGGCTTAGATGTGCTTCTCCTCTGCCCCACTTCCAGGCAGCTGTCACCAGACTTGATAGATAAAATATTACAGATCTTTCTCTGCTAATAAGCAAGGGAGCTACATTCCCAACTTCTCTAAGTTATCCACATGAGTCAAAAATGTAACCTAGACTATAGTATCACAAACTATATGGACATGCAGTTATTATGCCTTCCTATTGCTATCCTCTTCCTCAGGCATCAGTGAATTCGAATCTGTTCCAGAGAAACCACATTAAAAAATAGAAATAATGTTTACATAGTCGTGAAGTTACACATCAACCAACTCTCATTCACATAAATGCTTCCAGTAAATTTCCTCTCTTCTCAGATTTACTAGAGTCCATTTTTAACCAAAATGCTAGATGCATTTTTCTGTTTTATTTTCTTTGAGCACTCAGTTGGAAATGGTATTTTTGAATCCAATTCATTATGTGTAGTTATTTGTTTATCAATAGCAGTGAATTGTTGAATGATCATTAGCTTATTTACAGAGCTAATCTAGTTTCTTCTGTGTTGACTGGAATTTGGGAAGCTGTACTGTTACTGAATAAATCGATAGTGGCCATATTTAGTTAACTGAAACACTGTGACGTTTTCATTACAGCAAGAACAAACCAAAGCAAGAGCAACTTTGGTTGTGGGGCATTAAAAATATTCAGTGTTCAAATTTAGTGCCCTTAATTTATAAATACACAAAAAATTCACAGAGCTAACAATAAAGTAGGTGATATCTTCAGTGCTTTTTATACAGGATTGTGCATGAAAATTAGTTTTACTAAACACAGGAATAACTTGCTGAGAAGAGGATAGTGTACTCTCTACTTTTTTGTTAATACAACTTTCAACATGATTAAGGCACTGTGAACAATTCTGGCAGCTGTCATTGTGATAGAGGGAAATGATATATTTTTTATGCATCTTCAAGAAAAAAAAAGAAATAGGTTGGTCTCCAAATTTGACTTTAAATTTTGGGTGCAAAATACAGATAAGTTGACAGAATTTGAATCAAGCCTGTGTTCATAATCATATGAGATAGAGGTTTCAGAGGATCAAATACTATAGTACATCTGATTCTTCTCAATTTGTGCCTTAAACAAGGCACAATAAACATTTTATTTGACATGTTTTTAAGGCTCTTCTGGCATAGTTTCTGTCAACATATATTTTCAGCTTTTAATTGTTTTAAAATTCTCTATTTTTGTCCTAAAAAAATTTGAAAACTTTTTTCACTAGGTATACAATTATGGGTCAATTTCTACCTCTCACCCCAACAATTATTTTAAAGCTTCCAACTCATTGTCCTCTAACTTGCATAATTTCTTTTGAGAAATCAACTTAAATTCTCATATTTTTCCTATGTATTTTTTTTGTATTTTAGGGAAGGGTCTACAGGGTATTTAGCATCTCGCTACTAGATCAGACTCATTGTGATCCGCCTGTTTACCACCTCCCACGAGCTGGGATTACAAGCATGTGCCACCACATCCAGTCTCAACTGCCTTCTCATTTATTAATATCCATGGGGATAATGGGACCTGAACTATTAGATGCTAGGTGGATCCATTTGAGGAGGCAGGCAGCTACAATTAATGAAGTGATGGCCATGGTCAGAAGAGCATTTAAGAAACCTGATTTCTGCAAAAGTTAACACACCATGAAAATATCCTTAACATTCATACTAACCTCTCCAAATCATCTTAAAGCATCACCAAAAGTCATACACATCCTTCTCACAATGTAATTTTTTGAAAGATTTTCATCCTTATCAAAGTGGCCTTTCTCTTTTCCTGAGTCTTTATTTAAGTGGAGTCCAGATGAAGAAGTTATAAAAGCTTGCATTCTGATTTCTTTCCTTGACATTAGACAGTCAGGAATGTTGTTATATGAAGTCATAACACTTAAGACAACAATAGTCTGCAGAAGTCTGCAGAAGATTCCTAAAAGGGAGTCATAAAAGTCATTATCAGGAAATGCATTAGAAATCAGATTGTCTAAAAACATAAAGAAAATCAGGAATAAGCTTTCTGTAGGACATGAATAATTTCTTCTGAGGTGTAGCTGGTCATTTCTGACAAAATATATTTTCAATTTTTATAATTATTGATGAGGCTAAAAGTTTTTCATAGGAATACAGACATAATTATTCAGCAGACAATCATAAAAATAGTTTTTAGCCAGTTGTTTTTGTCATGGAGTCAAATAATGTCATTTTTCTGTTTTGTCCTTTATTTAAAGAACATCGTCAAGAAAATATATGAACTCTCCTTTTTTGAATACCTTTCTTTTGCCAAACTTTTCAAAATTTCTCTTTATTTTGATATCACTAAGATGAATATAGATGTAATATTTTCCTAGATATGTCCTTCATGGCTTGTTTTACCTGTTTGTTCCTCAAAGTATAAATGAATGGGTTCAGTAAAGGGGCAATGGAAGTATTGAGCAAAGCTATTCCCTTATTGAAAGCAACTCCTTCTTTTGCTGATGGCTTTATGTACATGAAAATGCAGCTTCCAAAAGAAAGGGAGATGACAATCATGTGGGCAGAACATGTGGAAAATGCCTTTTTCCTTTGCTGAGAAGAAGGGATCTTCAGAATGGTCTTCATGATATTTGTGTAGGAAACAATCACCATCACCAGTGTAACCACCAAGGTCATAATTGCCAAGATAAAGTCAACCAGTTCTAATACACTTGTGTTTGAGCAAGATATTTCTATGAGGGGTCCATAGTCACAATAATAATGATTCAGCACATTGGAGGCACAGAAATCTAGGTGACTAGTCAATATGATTGGGGATAAAATTATCAGGAATCCACATAACCAAGAACAGAGAACCAGCTGTGTGCACACTTTGTTGTTCATGATCGTGGTGTATTGTAGGGGTTTGCAGATGGCCACATAGCGGTCATAGGACATGGCTGCCAGAAGGTAAAACTCTGTGGCCCCAAAGAAAATGGCAAAGAAATATTGAGTGAAGCATCCAGCAAAGCTGATAGTCTTATTCCCAGTTAAGATGCTAAACAGAAGTCTAGGAGTAAAAGTGGATGTAAAGGAAATTTCCAAAAAGGAGAAATTCCGGAGGAAGTAATACATAGGAGTCTGAAGATGGGAATCCAGTAGTGTGAGGGTGATGATGGTCAGATTTCCAATGATGCTGCATATGTAAGTGATGAAAAGAAATATAAAAATTACAACTTGAAACTCCAAGATGTCTGATAGTCCAAGTAAAATGAATTCTGTCAAATTTTGGCTTTTCATTTCAAACCTTTGTTGCCTGTGAATAGACAAAGAATTAAGTCACAGGTGAAAAACAGACTTTAGGTCTGTTTATAAGGGGCTACATTTCTATGCTGAATAGTTTAAGTGTCTTTCAACTATCAGTGCGAGTCAATTAGGATTCTCTGTTGTATAGGGACTAGAACTGGACAAGAATTATTGTCTTAAATTCTCATTATGAAGATTTTTCTCTGTAACTCCTTTTCAAGATTTTAATGTACTCTTATAACCTACTTTGCAAACCAATGTGTGCTCATTTTCTCTATTTTATGTTTTTATTTCCCCTTTGAACATCCCTCTACTTATAATTTTTATGGCAGTGATATCTTATTTCTATTGGCCTCTTGGTATGAGTAAGTGAAGAAGTAAGATTAAATAACAGTAGAAAAATCTTTCATAGGAATCAGCAATACCATTAAAACTGCTATCTAATGATTCCTAGCTTTAATCTGAATTTTTAAATTCACAGACCATGAAAACTAACATCATTATCCTCTCTATATTTTGTGCAGGTATCTGCGGCCCCTCAAATCCCAGTTCTGCAGAGGGCTCAGCAGAGGAATAGGCAATATATCTCCAAGCAGATTCCTACTTTCACATTTTTTCCATGTGCTTGATTAACATCTTTATAATGTTGTTTTGGCTATAGAAATGAAGTTCAGATCAAAATTTGTAAGCCTTGGGCTGGAGAGATGGCTCAGTGGTCTAAGGCACCTACTTAGAACAAGCTTGGCAAAGCATCAGGGACCGCGGTTCAATCCCCCAGCACCACATGC